ACAAGCTGTAATGCTTGGCTTTTTAAGCGGGGTATTGAGAGATGAAGGAGGGTATGAATTTAAACGAGCAGTAGTTGAAGCAATATTTGACTTGGTCAAGTTCATACCTGAGTCCAAAGAAGCTGGTAAGATTCTTAAGTTTATTATAAATTTATATGAATAAAAGAATCTAAATATATAATTTCTTTTAAAATTTTTTAGCTTTGGCTCATTTATGCGAATTCATTGAAGATTGTGAATTCACCAAGCTTTCAGTGCGTGTTTTACACCTTCTTGGAGTTGAGGGACCAAAGACAGCCACTCCTACAAAATATATCCGCTATATTTATAATCGCGTTATATTAGAAAATTCTATTGTTAGAGCTGCGGCAGTAAGTGCTCTTGCTAAATTTGGTGTTAGTGTAGAAGATCCCGAAGTTAAAAAGAGTATAAAAGTTCTGCTTACTAGGTAATTTGTGGTTTATGAAACTTTTTTCTAGCAATTATTATATACTTAATACATAATCGATAATTTATTTAGATGTTTGGATGATAATGATGACGAAGTTCGAGACAGAGCAACGTTATATTTGAAACTTTTAGATGAAGAAGATAATGCTGAAAAATATCTTAAAGATGGTTCGTAGATTTTCTTTCACGCTTGATTTTAAAGATTAATGTTATTAAATATATTATTATATAGACTCTACATATTCACTTGCGGCCCTTGAAAGACAATTGGTACAATATGTAAGTGATCCTGAATCTGCGGAAAATCCATTCGATCTATCTGCCGTTCCAAAGATAACTAAATCTCAGGCTGAAGCCGAGAATTTACGACCTCGAAGCTTTGACCTGGCGAATACACAAATCATTGGTGTTTCTTCGCCAGCTGTTATTGGAATAATCCCTGCCACTATTTCTACTACAAGCAGGGATGTAACACCTACCCCTGGAATTGATCAGCAGCAAATTTATGCTCAACAATTGGAAAAAATTCCAGAAATTGCAGCGTTCGGAACTTTGTTTAAGAGTAGTACCAAACCAGTTGAGCTTACAGAAAGTGAGACAGAATATGTTGTTAGTTGTGTAAAACACGTATTCAATGAAAACATAGTATTTCAGGTATATTAATTTTTTATTGGTTGATAGTAATTAAATAACTATGCAATTATTTATTAATCATATCTTCACCTTTTCTAAAAAAAATATAGTTTAATATAAACAATACATTGAATGATCAGTTATTAGAGAATGCGTCAGTTGTAATGCAACCAGAATCAGATGATATTGGTTTAGAGGAAGAGTTTGTAATCCCGGCTTCTAAATTAGCATATGACCAGCCTGGATCAGTATATGTTGCTTTTAAAAGAACAAATCTCGATGAATACGCTCTAGGAAGTTTCTCAAATACTTTGAAATTTGTAGTCAAGGATTGCGACCCTAATAGCGGAGAACCTGATGAAGAAGGATATGAGGATGAATATCTGGTAATCATTAAATTAAAATTAACGCAAATTTTAATTTTATTATTTATATATTTCTTGTTAAATTAGGTCGAAGATGTCGAGTTAGTGACTGGAGACTATGTCCTCCCAACATACATCTCTGATTTCCAGGTTTCCTGGGACAAACTTGGAGAAGATGGTCAAGTTGTTGAGACATTTGCCTTAACCGCAGCAAAAAGTTTAAAAGGTATATTAAATTTACATACATTATATACATGTATATGAAATTTGATTATTCACATTAATATCACGCTTTTATTAGCTGCTTGTACAACTCTAATTGAACTTCTTGGAATGAGTGCTGTTGAAAACACTGGAACACCACAATCATCAAGTGTACATACACTTTTACTTTCTGGTATATGTTTGGGTGGAGTGGAAGTTCTTGCCAAAAGTCGTATGACATTTTCCCCTAGTACTGGTGTTACAATGGAGTTATCAGTCCGATCATCCAGCCAGGAGATTAGTCGTATTGTTATTAGTGCTGTTGTATAGATTTGAACTTGGTATTTTGTAATAATATTTTAGAACGTTATTAGAATTATTTTAAATAAATTTTATTTTATACATCTAAATCAAGTATTTTAACTTTAGTTGACCAGTAATATACCAATCGGTCCATTACAGGTTATGACCTTATGATGTTATGCGTCAAATCCCACTAATACATATAACATGGACTCCCACACTAACTCTCCATACTTAAATTTTGATCTGATATATATGTTATGACTATTTTGGTCATATGACCTAAATCGCCAATTCTAGGATCCAGATATTCTCGATATTCTATTTTGGATACTTTTAATCCATATACAGATATTTATTAAGTTATCCGGGTTACACTTTTAAACTTTAATTAAAATTAAAATATTGGTATATCAAAGACCGTTTATCCAATGTTACCAGTGTGTGAAATTCAATGTTCTCAGTTTTCTGAGAACATAAAAACTTTAGTTTACACTTATGTGAGAACATAAGATTTACAAATAGATGTTCTTGCGAGAACATTATTGATAATTCAAATTTCACACGCCTAATATTAATTATTTTCATTATATCTTCAGCGATGGTTGATAGCTCTTTTATTACCAAATAAACCATTTGTCGCAAAGCGATCTATATTCATCCATATGCAAGTATGGAAGCAACCAAAGAATGTCCATATAGAATACCATTTATGAATGGAATTGAAGAACTTACAAAGCTTTGCGGTTTGGAATTCAAATTTGGTCCGTATAATGAAATAATCTTACATCTTTAGATTGAAAAAGCTTAGTTACACTAAAGAACAATTCAGTTGCTTCAGTTGTCGCCATCGGTTCGCCCAGGTACAATAGATAAAT